GTTATAATTTGGTTACATTCCATCATAAATGGAAGAAGTCAATAATTAATATTAAATATTTTCTGTGTAATAGCAAATGAATTTAAAAGCAATGAGAAGAGGCTTGAAGTAAATTCTGAATTAAATTTGCCCTTGTTTAAAAATAACTTCGTGTTTTTTTAAACTTGTTTCATTTCAAATTCGGTTTTTGAGGGGCCCGGGCAGTGTTGAGCCCATCGCTCCTGGGCGAGGGAAAATGTTTTTCCCTTCGAATCCCGAATATTCATTTTGATCAGTGAGAGAACACAGGAAAGTCATACCTCTGGGAAAAGTGTCCTGAGTTCGATTTCCTTCAAGGGCGTTTCCTTTTGCTCCGAAACTAAGCGAGACAGAAAAAGGGCCCCAGGATCAGAGATTTTTGCTTCGAAGAGGAGATTACGGAAACGAAGGCCTCGACACTGAGTTCGAGTCCCGACAAGGATGGTTTCTGTTGACTGGAACGTAACCGCGAAAACAGATCGACGCCAAGGCAAAATTCTTTCGTTTCGGAGAGGAAATTACGGGGTCTAAGGTCACAGACTCGAATACACAGTCCTCGGTTCGAGTTTCTGTTAGGATGTTGGTTTCTGGGGTAATTTTTACGGGTGTATTAAACGATACACGTTTACTGATTAGGCCGTTAAGCTACCGGGTGTCTCCAAATTAAGATGCTGATATTTTGTTATAATAAACCATGTTTCTTATTTATTCATAGTTTATTTGACGTCGCATTTTCAGTAGCACAGGAGCCTTAAATCCATTGATAAATCCTTGTACGTAAATAATTTTATTGTTTGGAAAAAACTAGCTTCATTCTGTATTACTGTCGACCAACACGGATGCCACCAGATGTCTCAAAAGTAAAGTGCTGTACAATTTGTAATGTTACCCAAATATCGGAAAAGTTTTTGTGGTAATATAATGTACCGCATTCGACCGGCGGCTGAATAAAGCGCGTAGTTTGGCAGATAGAAATAAACAGTCTCTGAAAATGTGCCCCATTGATAAGTTCTTGTGCACAGGAATGTTTCTAAAGCACTAGACTGACCACCAACTCCCGACAATTGGTTTTCCACCTCAAGCGTGACCTATAAATGCAAAATCGAGGAATTAGGCTGACAGGAGGCCTTGATCTCTGGGGTGACGTCAGAGCCCTGAAGCTGAGGCCAGCTGCTGGTCCAGGCGGAGATAAGGCCTTCAGAGGGAGGACTTCGAAGTTTTTATCCCCATGGCCTCTTTCGCTGTTTTGAGGCATTTGCGGACAATAGACACGAGGGCTGAGATACACGTAATTTGATGGGTAAACCCGTTAGAAGGCGTTCACTGTGACCTGTAAGGTAGTGTTTTGTTGTTGTTTCTACAACACTCTGTCAACTGATAATGTTGCCTATCCATTAATTAAATATGACGGGATGGTTATGAATGATAAAGTAACTGAGAAGAACCAGGAAACTGGGGTTAGCCGATGCCAACATGTTAGTCTACTGCGATTGGATGAAGCTGATATTTTGGGCGTGTTTTAAGAGGGGGCACGAATTGGATCGATTTCTTCTTTTAGATTTTGGTGCCACAGAGTTTCTTTAATCTCACAGGCGGCTTCAAATGGCGGATGCAAAGTTTGTTATGAATTGTTGATGGGACAGGGTGAATGTGTAAATGGATTTGAGGAACTGCTAAGGAATTTGCCTTCGACAAGATGGGGATTGTGTCGTTGTACAAGATTCGAACTGAATATCGCTTGGATAACCTGTCAGCTTTGTCTTGAGTACTTCGTGTTTTTACTTTCGTTAAGTTAGAGAATTTTCTGGAGTTGATTCCGATTCTGCGTCAGATAATTCGTTGATACGATAATTGTTCCTGTGCTCAGGCGTCATCTTCACGCTGCGGCCTGCTTTACCCTCGGTGGTCAGGGAATACGAGGCTAGCTGAGCCCCAGAAACAGACTGGCCGCAGAGAGGGAGGGAACTTTGCCCCGTAGTCCACACAAAACCAGGATCGCGATCGACTATGGCCGCCAGATACAGAGTTTTTCGAACAAGCATTGGCGGATAGCCGACAAGCGGTGATTCTCCGACCTGTGGATTGTCGCGGGGCTAACATTTCCTGACCGTGAGAATAATAAGTTGATCCAAAATGTTGCGCGTGGCCTCTGATTAGGACTGATTATTTGCAACGACCGAAGGGAGGGGAATTGGCTCGTGGAATGCGTGGAGTTTCTCGCTGGGATCAGTTGCGAGAGGTTTAATAAGGTGCAAGTTGTGTTTAGAGGGAATACAGGAGCTCATAGGCGATTACACTTTCTTCTGCGGAAAGAGGAATGAATGAGCATCACGAATTGTCAAAGAGGATTTTTGTGCATGAGAGAATCGTATCAGCAGTTAGGAGGGTGTAGTTTGTAATATCAAGAAGTTGCTGTTATGAATGTGCATGCACCGACGGAGCACAGAAATTATTATACAACGGAACATTTCTACGAGGAA